TTTTTTAGCTATGCAGCTCCCTTTCTTTGGCTGCTATTTTTATGGAGCATTATTTTATTTGTTCAAGGGTTATTGCAGAGTAAAGCTTTTTGCAGCTTTAAACAGTAACTGTTTTTGAAGACACCAAGAGAAAAAAGAAAGCAAAGGAAACTGGGTATTTGGTAAACGTTTTCATAAAGGCACTCGTCGATTTCTAAACATTATGAGGGACTGCTCTGAGAAAGACCGCAAAGAACACAATACCCGTGTGGCAGATATTTCCATCTCCGTGGTATCCAGTTTTGCATGCACATTTGTAGGAACCTTCGGTATTGCTACACATAGCATTCTCACTGCAGGTTTGTGTTCCCGCGGCACACTGTCGATATCTAATCGTAAAAAAGACAATTCTTTAATATTCATATTTATGGTGACTTTAAAACGCCACGATTTAAATTTTTTCAGAACAGTTGTACGATCACTTTGTATTGTTGCACACAGCTTCGGCACTGTATTTTGATGTTCCTATTGTACACTCGTTTATATCTATGACATTCAGCATTACAATTTTAGTATGGATATATCCTCAGTGTTTGCTTCTAAATTGGCTTACTTTATCCATCAGAGTTGTTATTTATTCTCAGACTTAGTTTCCGTTCCTCTAAGCGACGAAAACAATCTGGAAAGTCAATGTTACCTTTAGAAGTTATCTCTCATTTTTTTCTCCTTTTTAATTTTTTTCTTTTATGCCAGTTATTAGATACTTACCCCCTTCCCCCCAAAAAAAAATCTTTCCCCCCCTGCTGTGATTGAATAAACAACCTTTGGACTTGTAGCCAAGAATCTTTTGTATGGAGACAACAATTTACACGTTAGCGCCATCTCCAATAATAATGAAAACACAGAGGCACTTTTTACCTTCAGCACAAGTCTGACCCTTGAATCCAGCAGTACACAAACAGCGATAACCTAGGTCAGTAAAACCGCTTTGACAAGTGGAGTTGTTCTCACAGGGATTTTTGACACAAGCACTCTGAGGCAAGAAATAAGAAATAATTACCTCAAAACATTTAGAGCATAGTTAATTTCTCATCTGACGTAGTTTCATGTTTAAATTTCGTAATTTTTGATATAAATATTGCTTTAGAAATACAAAAGCAAGTAAAAAAAAAACGAAATTATGTTCCGACGTTTCAGTGGCCTCGTAACGTCATTATCAAGGAATGATTAAAATGAGCGGGTTCGAAAGAGTTAAGGCCAGTAATTTTTCATAAATAAAGTTAAGAGGGTCTCAATTGGGTCAACTGTCAACCGTCAAATGGCGAAAATTTAAGAACAGAACAATTGTCTTAATCAGGGTCAAGTTCTGTTGTTTATAAATAAAAGTTTTGATATATCACAAAAATACATTTGTGTATATCCTTTCACTTCTAGTCGCGAGTAAAACTGGTTTGCGACAGAACTGACTTCCGGTGTGGAAACACTTCCGGTGTGGAAACACTTCCGGTGTCGTTATTTTGTAAGAAATAGACAACTTTTTTGAGAGACATGTTTCGGCATGCTTATGCCATCTTCAATCAATGAGTCAAGTTGGCGAAGGTCTTGTAAGGAAATCCATCCTTGGTATTTGCTTGCTAAGTCGTGCATGATGTTTCCATAAGGTCGTACTAGTAGCAAGTATGATAAATATGGATTGAAGATGGCGTAAGCATGCCGAAACATGTCTCTCAAAAAAGTTGTCTATTTCTTATAATATTTATCATACTGCGTGTGATGCACGATCCTTCGCAGTAGATAGCGCTATTTAGGCAATAGCGAAAATCAGACCTGAAAAAAATCAGGCCTATACGAGATTTGAACCAATGACCTCTGCGATACTAGTGCAGCGCTCTACCAATTGAGCTAACAAGCAAAATGGAAGCTCCCAGTTAATCCCCTCGCTCAACTATGATCTGTATTACATTGCGTCTTTGAATGTGCAAAATTCTTTTTTTTTCCTCTCAACTTGTTTTCGTTGTTATGTTAATTAGTTACTTATCTTGAATTGAAACTTAGTCGCCACGTGTGTTATTAACTGTCACTTATGAAGATGTATGTCGAAACATACGAAATGTCAAGCGGAAAGTTTACTAATCTTGTTTTCCAACAGGCGTTTTGCTGTGATGTTTGTAACTGCAGTTTTTGTACTATTTCTTGCCCAAAGAGAAATAATTTTTACGTTTTGTTTTGCTTTATTTTTTTTCCATTTTTCTTCACGAGTCCCAATGGGGCTGGGCGACTGCCCAGTGTACAAAAACATCCGGTTTTGGCTCTCAATCGAAGGTTTTATTGAACCTACCTTTATAAAAAGTCTCTTGTTTAGAACCTCAATGTTCTAATAAGCCACCCGCGGGATTAGGAGGGTGTTCACACTGAGTAAAATATTTCAACATAAGGATAGATAGCCATAGAGACACAATCAAACTTTTTTTCCTTATTTTTTTCTTATTTTCAGTGGAGAGTAAACATTAACAAGGCGCCAGCAGCCGAAAGAGACGCAACCCTTGTAAAGGAAAAAAACAGAAANAGGTGAATATCGTCGAATAATCCCCGAGACGAAGTCGAGGGGATTATTCGACAATATTCACCGAACCTGAGGCGAATAATTGTTTTAGTATAATTTCAGAGCTGAACAACAGAGAAATTTCTAAAATCATAACATTTTAGTAACATTTATCAACATTTTATTTTAACATTTTATATAATCCGCGTGGAGAAGTTTATAGAGCGTCATATAAGGAACCGCTCGATCAATCAGATTGCTGGAAACTCTTTGCTCAGCTCTGTAATTACACTAATTTTTCATATAAAATTACACTTACTTGGGATGCGTGGTAAAAGTAATTTGGGTGCCACTTAAACTCGTGTTCGTGTCCTTCGTGGGTGACATTATTGAGTTCACATTTGTACTTTCCATTTACACCTGCTGTATCATCAAGGTTAATACTGACACAATCGGGTTCCATATAACACAACATTGTGCAAAACTCCTTCACCATGATTTCAACGATGCGAATCACGTGGTTCATGAGGTGTCTGCCGTTAAATGCTTTTTGAGACTTGAACACTAAAGTACGGCATTTTTCTCTGACAGGGATTTCTTAAAGAATCAATTTGAAAAAGTAAGGAAAATTATCTTGATAATGATAAAAAACCATTATAGCAATGATCATGGTAGAAATGGTATATACATAAATGATAATGACGAGGATAATCGACTATAATAACGGTGCCCTGATTAAAAAGATAATAATGATGATCATGATTATGATGGTAATAATACGTACATCGGATCTCACTTGCCATTATCATTACTTTTACCAAAATCAGTCATGAATAATCACGATCATTATTTTTCTCGAAGCAGAAATCATTAATTTTTGATGAGATACGACGTCTTAGTTTTCCTCTTTGTGTTTTAATTGTTAACGTCTTAATTTTCCTTTTTGTGTTTTTCTTTCACTATCTGGTGTTATGGATTTTATTGTTACTAAACGGAAACTTGAAGATAAAAATGATTGAAAAGTTTGTGACTACAGACCAATCCGGTGGTATAGTCTAAAGAATAATCTAAAGAATACCTTTCATTTCAGTTTTGCAAATTAACTGGAAGAAGTCGAATGGATGAAGCTCTAGTTATTCCTAGCAAGGGCGCAAAAATTTAGTTTAAAAGGAACGAATTCGAGAAGAAATACACAAGTGAACTAGAACAATGATCAAACGAAACAAGAACTTCCCGAACTGCAATCACCATTGGTAACAGGAAGCTACTAAATGGTGAATAATAGATTACTACCTAGTACAGCTACCTGTAAAGTAACATCTTTCTCATATCAGTTCACTCGCAGCTGAAAAGTCCTTCCTAAATTTTCTACCACACAGATGAGTCCGTTATGGGGAAAATCTGATTCACCCTTACTGACAAAGCTATGAAAGGCTCGTACTGACGAGTGCTTGTTTTTTGCAAGACGTTTTGTTTTACACTCAACAAGATCACTACTCAAAGGCTAAATAATAAGCACAATAATTCGTCCCTTTTTTTCTATTCATTGACCATGGAAATCAATGAGTGTTTGGGTAGGAAAGAGTTATCTACACCTTTAATCAGAGCCGAACTTTCTGGTGTATTTATGGATGCAAAGGAAACAAACACGAAAAGCGGCTTCAAAAACAATTCATAATCTAGACGCATAAAATAACATTTATGATGAAAATTTTCATGAAAATTGTTCATACATTCATCTATCCGGCCGCAATCCACTTCTTTAGGAGTTTAAAGAAGTGACACTTGAAAATGTAATAATCTACGGGCTGGGAATTTTTCCGATCAAGAAGAAAAACTCTGACAATTCTTAAAAACAAATAACATGTGTTAAACATCAACTATGATTACGAAATCTTCCCTCAGTACCCACTGTTTAGAAACTAACCTTGCAATGTGCCAGAGACAGACATTATGAGGCATAAAAATAACAGAAGACAGATAGAAACTGTAGTTTTCATTGCGTGTAAAGTAGTCCAAGACTGACTTCCCGTGAGATCAGTATGGACAAATTAGTGAGTTGAAAGAGCTAGATCACAGTTTTTGCATATAGATTATTACAACCCCTTGACTTCCTTTAAACTGATGAAGCTTGCATGTCACCTTATATTGTATTTCATAATACGATATCTTTTGCCATTGTGCTAGCTGGTAATTTATTCATTAAATGCACAGAGCAAAATTATTCAAATTACTTGATAGGGCATCTTGACCTGTCAATCAATGACCGACAAATTCACCTGACTGTAGTGCGACTCTACAAATCCATTTTCAAGATAATTTTTTTTAATGATTTTTGGCGAATCTCATTTTGCCTCAACTGAGCTCAAACATCATTTCTGCCGTAGAATAACTTACAGAAACAAGAAAGAACCTCAAAGCTCCAATAGTAGATTTCCCACAAATTTTCGGTTTTCGTGAAAAAAATAATTTCCTGCTGAGTTTTGTATTTACAGATACTGAGTGACTGCTTAAAGGGAAAAAAATCAAATTTTAGCGCTCTATGAGCCCAGCTTTATAAGGAGTCTCCCGTTATGAATTTTATTATCGTAATAAGCCATCCGAAAAAGAAAAACATAAACAATGGAGACCCAATTAATAATTTTCGGCAGTGGTCAGCATTGCCTCAGGGCTGCCACCAATCGATCGAAGAGGAGAGGTAGGTCTTACAAATCACGTAACGGACGAACAACACAGGACCCCCATCAGAAAACAATTTAGATTCAACTTTGAAGTCATCTCATGCGCGGACACCCAAGGGTGGCGAGTCGATTTCAAGTTAGGCCAGAAGAGCCCCTAGGGACATTGTCTTACAAGATTAGTTCCAAACGGTCGTAGTCGTTTTGGCATCTGATTGGCGCCAGAAAATCTTTGTGTTTTTCTGCCCAATCAGACCGAAGTGTGCTTTAGAGTCTTTTCGTGTGTTTTAACAGGAACATATACAAAAAGCTGTGTTGCTCGCCACGATTGTCTGGGCCGTACGACGGAGATTTGCTCTAGGTGAAAAGTCTCAGTCTCGGCGCATAATGTAAGAGAAATCGATCAGATTGTCCCAAAAAAATCTCACCGGAAATTATACTGACTACTTTTGCAGGTATCCCAAGAGAAAGTGTTTAAAAGTTTGCGAGGTTCGTATAAAGCACGGTGGTTGTAGGCATTGATATGTCGCTTTAAACGTTAAACGAGATTTAAGCTTAAATCTTTCTAGATCTTTTGTATTATTTGCTTTGACTGAAACTTTGCCAATCCAGTTAAGTTATTTCGTCTCACGGACCCCGCAGATATGTTGAGCAACTGGCGCTTTAGCTTAAGTAGCTTTCTGTGCGCGCCAAAATCAAATATTCGTTTTGTAGTTAATCTTTCACAATATGGCCAGGGTTGAAGAGAAGGTTAAGTTCGTGGACGGCCTCCAGCAAGCGCTTAGAGAAAGCTTAGCTGTGTTTCCGGTTAACTAATTAAAATCTGAACAAAAACTTATTATCGAGAACATCGTGGGAAGGAGAGATGTTTTCGGACAGTTACCAAAGGGGTTTGGAAAGACTGCTGCCTTGAGTGTTTAAATTCTTGAGCTCGAAAGGCCACGGATTCTCTCCTAGTCCCTTGGTAATTGTCATTTCACCTCATTAGTCGATTGTTGTAGACCAAGTTAAATACTTTTGATCACTGGGAATCAGTGCTGCTTTCACTGGGGGAAAACGAAACCAAAAACCAAGAAATATTGGATGGAAAGGGCGGGTTTGCTTTATTGTAAATGTCAGCTTATTACAGGGTCAGCTACCCACATCTAATAAACAAAAGTTTCCACGCTAAATTTTTCTGTTTTATCAAGCGAAGATTAGATTAGATTTTGGCGCGCACAGAAAGCTGCGTAAGTGCCAGTTGCTCGACATATCCGTGTGGCCCATGCGACGAATAACTTCCCGGGATTGGCAAAGTTTTATTTACAGGAAATTATACAAAAAATCTACAAAGATTTAAGCTTACTTCTCGTTTAATGTTTAAAGCGAGATATTAACGCTTCGCAACCTTTATGTTTTATACGAACCTCGCAAACTTTTAAACACGTTCTCTTGTGATACCTGCGAACGTATTCTGTATAACTTCCTGTAAGAGTTTCGCGGACAATCTGATCGATTTCTTCTACATTGTATGCGGAAACTGAAACTTTTTACCTCGAGCAAATCTCCGACGTATGGCCCACGCAATCATGGCGGGCAACTGAGCTTCTTGTATATGTCCGTGTTAAAACACACGAAAGGACTCTAAAGCACACTTCACTCTGACTGAGCAGAAAAACACAAAGATTTTTTGGCAACAATCAGATGCCAGAACGACTGCGACCGTTTGGAACTAGTCTTGCAAGACACTGTCCCCAGGGGCTCTTCTGCCCTAGCTTGAAATCGACTCACAGCCCCTGGGTCTCCGAGGATGAAGTCATCTGTGAATCCAGCTTCTGTTCCTACGTTTTTGATGTGTTACATCCTTTTGTTGGGACCCAAAATATGTGAACTTGACTGTTTTGGGAGACTTACGGTGCAGATCTAGTGAGTGTGACGGAAACATGGTTGTCTGAGGACCTCCCCGATGTTGCTGTAAGGATCGCAAGGATAGTCAAGGCGGAGGCCAGAGCCGAGCTAATTGACGCTTCGTCCAAGTCCCTCTCGGATCGACCGTCGAACAGTTTTATGACTTACAAGATAATATTTCTCTTACAACAAGTATAAAATGCCATGGCTTCTTGTATTATTATTTGTATCGGTTTTCTTTTTTTTTTTTCTTTTTTTTTCCTTTTTGCATGCAGTTCAGTATTACATCAAATCACACAATTTGTTATCTTACCGAAATATCATCACATAGACTTATTTTTAAACTAGTAAGTAATCGAGAAAAAGTTAAAAAGTCACCCAGCTAATTGATCGCAGTGATCTTGGTCAACTCTCAGTATACCAAGATATATCCCGTTGCCTTGATATATCTTTCCTTGTTGTCTGGAAGGTATTTAGCCACGCTGCCACACGTAATTGATTTGTCAGTGTTTCATCCTGTACCAAAACCGATTCTGGAATCACAGCCGCTACAGTCGTCTTGCTCATTACTAATAATGCCAATCCTTGCTTTGGAATGTCTGCTAGAGCTGTAAAAATCGAACCCCTCCTTATTACAATTAAATTGCAAAGAGGCTTCTGAACCAATAAGCCTCTTCCACGTAACTCGACTCAATGAGATGCTGCGGTATTGTCCGTCAGCGATCAATGAGTACAAAGAATCGGCTCGCTTGCTGATTACAATAAAATTGATCTGTTTGCCAATCTTCATACCGAGACAGATTTTGGAGAAGGGTGTTTACCAGAAGGTCGGTAGCTTACTTAGTCTCCTGTGAGTCAAATCCAGTCAAACCTCCCACACGATTGCATTCGGTTGTGTTGCTCCAAAACAAAGAGTCATAGTGGAAGGTTTGTTGGAGAAAAATATTAAGTATATAAAACATAGTACCTATAAAGAGCAGTCAAAACACAATAGAGAATTACCCTAAAATATTCGTAACACTATTACCCAAACACCCTGCTAACCTAAGAAGAATGCTTACAGACAGCGGATATAATCAACTGATTCACAAACTAAACTTCTTATTCAATTTTAAACTATAGTTGTCATAAAGTTAGCGTTAGCGAATTCACCTTTATACCAAACAATAATAAGTGGGTGGCAACTCTCTTAAACATCTATATATAAAAGTCTCACCTTAGTACCATCAATTTTCATGACCAGCGCCCATTCCCCATTTCCACATCCAAAGTCTCCCATGTGACAAAATACGGATACTGGTCCGGAGCCGAATTGGAGAGTTTTAACACCACTCGTGTTCAATCTCAGAAGGAGAGATATATTGCATTTTAGTAAAACCTGAGAGTCCTGTAGATCCAAGCATTACATTATGATACGCTAAATTTTATGACAAGTGAATATAAAGAAACGATGCGTCATATCATTTTCAAATAAAGCAAAGCGCTTGCTGTTGACTGCTACCAA